ACCCTTGCTTTATAGCTCTACATACTTCACCATATACGATTTTTTGTTTTTGTTTATTTTTTATGAGGAAAAAAAATACCTTGTCAAGGATTACTAAAGCGCTGCACCTTCCCCCCTGTTTTTATCCAGTTTTCTGATTGGAAAAGAGAGACTCCGTATTGGTGTTCAAGCTGCTTTTGGACTATTATCACTTTCCTTCTGCGCTGAATTTATTTTTGTGTGATAGTGTCACCTGGGCAAGCCCATGTGAAGTTGACAAAGCAAATATTGCAGGGTATTTGTGACTCTGCAAGCGGGGCTAACCAAAGCAGCTCTAGATTAAATTTTACTTATTACCCAAGTGAAGGCGATTGAGAGTAAAATATCTCCTCTTGCTACCCTCAACGAAGGGAGAGGAAATGTTTTACATGTGAACAGCCAGGATATTTTGCCCAGGAATGCCCCACCTCACGAGAAGAGAATTGGGATGTTCTAGTTGCAGAACCAGAGGAAGCCCGGTCAGTCTCCTTCAAGAAAAGGAAGTAGAAAATGTGAAAAGATGTTTGGGGAAAAACTTATAGCTTGCAAGCCAACTCCAGAGTGGGGCCCGGGTCTATAATTTAAATGCTGGTAAATGACCTCCATACTTCAGCACTCTTAGATACAGGGTCGCAAGAGACTATAATTTACCGGTCATTCTATGATTAGCATCTGAAGTATGTGCACTTACTACCAGCTGAGAATATGCAGCTGTGGGGCATGGGTGCTCTCCAAATTACGAGGACTTCCCATTTAAAAGATCAAAGAGCCAGAGGGTCACACCAAGGGCTGACACAGGAACCACCTGATACCAGTGCTATGCTCCCAAGATGGAGAGAGTGAGGGAAGAGTTTAATCGCTTGTGAGGAAAATAGAAAAGACAGTGCAGGACTGTCACAGTGAAGGAACTAAGGAAGGGGTTTTAGAATTCACTGACCCTAGTGATGAGTGGTGGATGGTTCAAGAAGACTCCTCTCACCAATTGCCTCCCTCTGCTCCCGTAGACTTCTCTAGATTGCATCCAAACAGACCCAGCTTTGTGCGTGGGACTTCAAAGAGAACCTCCCCACCCAAGTGGCAGGAGCTGAAGACTCCCATAGACACCGTGGACTTCCTCAAACAGAACTGAGACAGGGTACTAGAGTATGGCAGCCTGCCAGAGTTCTTACTTGTGATCAAGTTGGAGAACCCAGCTATATTCCAATGCCCCAGTAACTCTCGAAAATTATAAATTTTCTGTAGGCAAATGCAGAAATGATAAATGTTGGAAACCTTCTGTGCTAGAGTAGACAATTCTAGTAGATATTTGATAGTTGGAATGTGTCTAGTTAGGATTGTTAGTGCAGGATTATGTCTGTGTTTTGTTTTTCCGTATATGTTCTATTTTCAGTTTGCTTCCTGGTCAGACCATGCCAGTGAAGGGCAAGGATGTTATGTGGGGGAGAATGTAACCTCTCACATTTTCCTTCTGCACCACTGGAACTATTGAACAATGGCACCTGACAGGCAGGGGTCACGTGACCGATTCATCCAATAGAGGCATCCCTGAGCTAGAACGCTCCAAAACAGAGGGAGACACAGGTGGAGAACAACATGCTGGAGCAGTGAAGGTGTCTGATGTCTAGCTGTGGAGCTGAGTGAATCCAGTGTGAGCTGCCAGCTGCTCCCTGATCCAGTGATAGAGCTGTGGAGCAGGATCCAGACACAGAAAATGGCTTCCCGATGGTATGTTCCCCAACTCCCTTATAGAGGAGTCTTAGGATTCCCTTGTAAAGCAGGAAGAGGTAACCAAGGATGAGGATCACAGGGGCAACAGGCCACTATAGATAAATATATTAAAATTAAACCAACTGACAACATCTTAAAAGGATGGCTCATGGAGAGTAGATATGTTCTGTGATCAAGCCCCAATGTTTTAAAAAAAAGTTTTTTCTGTGTTCTGGTTTCCCCCTCTTTTGTGCTGCTGCTTGATTGATTGGAGGAGTGTTTATTAATTGCACCTTTGTGGGATTTGTATCCCCATAAAGGCACACTCCTAACTCACTGAGCTTGCTCACATTACTTGGAAGCAGACTCTATTAAGTAGACTCTTTCAAGTAGGAGTTAGAAAACCAGGAGTTGCTTGGAGTGGTTTGTATACTGTGGAGAGTGGTTTGTATTTTATTTTTGTTTAACCCCTTAAGGATTGAGCCAAATGTACACGTTGTGAACAAAACAAAATGTAAACAAAACCTGGCATTTGCGCTACATGTCTGTCCAACCGTAATTCACCTCTTTTATATTAAATGCACCCACCCTTATTATATATCATTTTATTCAGGGGAAACAGGGCTTTCATTTAATATCAAATATTTAGCTATGAAACATAATTTAATATGGAAAAAAATGGGAGAAAATAAGATTTTTTTTATTTTTTTAGTTCTACATGACATTTTAACTGTCAATGTCATAATACTGTTTGCTTTTACTCCAATAAAATACACATATTTGTATTCAGCAAAGTCTCACGTGTAAAACAGTGATCCCTATGTACAGGTTTTATGGCGTTTTGGGAAGTTACAGGGTCAAATATAGCACGTTACATTTGAAATTGAAATTCGCCAGATTGGTTACGTTGCCTTTGGGACTGTATAGTAGCCCAGGAATGAAATTTACACCCATAATGGCATACCATTTGCAATAGTAGACAACCCAAGGTATTGCAAATGGGTATGTCCAGTCTTTTTTAGTAGCCATTTGGTCACAAACACTGGCCAAAGTTAGTGTTAGTATTTGTTTGTATGTGAAAAATGCAAAAAACACCAATTTTGGCCAGTGTTTGTGACTAAGTGGCTACTAAAAAAGACTGGACATACCCCGTTTGCAATACCTTGGGTTGTCTACTATTGCAAATGGTATGCTATCATAGGGGTAATTTTCATTCTTGGGCTACTATAGGGTCTCAAAGGCAACGTAACCAATCTGGCTAATTTTAATGTGAAAAAAATGAAACACAAGCCTTATATTTGATGCTGTAACTTTTGAAAACACCATAAAACCTGTACATGAGTGGTACTGTTGTACTCGGGAGACTTCGCTGAACACAAATATTTGTGTTTCAAAACAGTAAAAAGTACCGCAGCAATAATATCGTACGTGTAAGTGCTGTTTGTGCGTGAAAAATGCAAAAAACGTCACTTTTACTGGCGATATCATCGTTGTAATACATTTTACTGTTTTGAAACACTAATATTTGTGTTCAGCGAAGTCTCCCGAGTAGAACAGTAACCCCCATGTACAGGTTTTATGGTGTCTTGGAAAGTTATAGGGTTAAATATAGTGCTAGCAAATTAAATTCCCTTTACTTTCGGCATGGGTTGTCAGGTAGGTCCCGATAATTGTAATTAATTAAGATACCTAATTATGTAAGAATATTACATAAATATATATGTAGAATTAATATATGTGTATATATATATATATATATATATTTATTTATTTTTTATGTATATATATGTATATATTTAAAAAAAAATTTTTTATTTATATATAGGTGTGTATATATATAGTGATATATACGTATATATTTATGTATATAGATATATATATTATTTCGTTCTACGTGTATTTTGATATAAATATATATATCTATTAATATCACAATACAGTTTGAACGAAATAACACACATCTATATATTTTTTAATTATTTATTTTTAATAATTTTTTAACGTATTTACATATTTCATTTTTTTATATTATATATAAATATATATATAACAATAATTATATATATATATTTAATCAGTATCAGTCTACGTGTAATTTGATATTAATATATATATAATTATTGTTATATATATATATATATATATTAATAGTAAAATACACCTAGACAGTGTATGTATGTGTATGTATATGTGTGTGTATATATATACTTAGATCATATATATGTAATATATATGATCTAAGTATATTATTATTTTTTTTACACTTATTTTAACGTAATTTTATTTTATTTCCAGCCAGCAGGGGGACTACCTGTCATTACAGGCAGCCTCCCTGCTGGCAATGCAGCAGCCAGCTAACCCGGCCATGTGATTGTGAGGTCCTCGCAAGGACCTCACTCTCACATGGCCGGGGGGCTGCAGGAGGGAAGATCTGCCGTGGGGGCTCCCACGGGTAAGTAAAGAAAAACTGGAGAGCCGCCTAAAATAGGGCGTAATAGTACGCCTTCCGGTCTGAAGAGGTTAATCGGTTCAGTTGGTAAAGTTTAAAAAAAAAAAAGTTGTTTTTTTACATTTTTTTTTCTGTGTTCGGTTTTTTCCCCCTCTTTTGTGCTGCTGCTTGATTGATTGGGGGAGTGTTCATTAATTGCACCTGTGTGGGATTTGTATCCCCATAAAGGCACACCCCTAACTCACATTACTTGAAAGCAGACTCTATTAAGTAGACTCTTTCAAGTACGAGTTAGAAAATCAGGAGTTGAAACTAATAAGGGGTTTGAACTAACAAGGTAATTGTTTTATTGTTCTGTATCTGGGGAAATGAGTGTTAGCAAGATTGGTGGTTTGACTCAAGGCACATCTTGTTGCATGTGTGGATGCCTGGACGTAACCGTCCAGGGTCCATACCTCTGTGACGGTTGTGTGCGAGTGGCTTCTCTGGAAGCTCAGATTGGAGATCTCGAGAAGCAAATCGCAACTTTAAGGGAGATTGACAATCTTGAGAGGAGTCTGCTGCTCACTGAGCAGAGTTTAGTGGGGACAGGTAGCGGAGAGGGAGGAGATAAGACAGATGGGGAACAGTCATGTAGCTGGGTGACAATGGGGTGAGGAAGCAGGGGGGGGAGGGAAGAGAAAAGGGCTAGCTAGTCCTGATTTGGAGCAACCTAGCAGATTTGCCCGTTTGAGTGAAGATGTTGGGAGCATCAGCTCAGGAATAGCTGTATTAGAGGAAGCTGTTATTTCTAACAGCCGAGGTAACAGCCCTTCTAGTACGGGTGGGGATCAAAATGTAAGGAAGGCAAGACAGCTTGAGGTGGTAGGGGACTCTATCATTAGGAGAGCAGATAGGGCAATCTGCCGCTCTGATCGGTTCAACCGGACAGTATGCTGTCTCCCGGGTGCTCGGGTCCGGCATGTTGCTGACAGAGTGGATGGATTATTGGGAGGGGCTGGGGATGACCCAGCGGTCATGGTCCATGTTGGTACCAATGACAAAGTAAGAGGAAGATGGAAGGTCCTAAAGAATGATTTCTGGGAATTAGGTAGCAAACGTAAGAAAAGGACCTCCAAGGTGGTATTCTCTGAGATATTACCTGTGCCACACGCTACAGTGGAAAGGCAGCGGGAGATTAGAGAGGGCAATGCGTTGCTTAAGTCTTGGTGCAGGAAGGAGGGTTTTGGGTTTTTTGAGCACTGAGCCGACTTTGCGATTGGGTACAACCTTTATAGTAGTGATGGATTGCACCTAAACGGGAGAGGGTCTGCAGTGCTGGGGGATAGGATGGCTAGAAGGTTGGTGGAGATTTTAATCTAGTAGTAGGGGGGGAGGGTCATAGCAATCTACAAAATGGAGATAGGACAGAAAGGAGATGGGCTTTAGCACAGTATAAGGTGGGTGGAGACAGGGGAGGGGCAAGCTCAGAACAGAGAAGCTATGTAATGTTGATAATTCACAAAAAGTACAAGTGACTCATGATATTAAATGTATGCTTACTAATTCAAGGAGCCTAAATAACAAAATGGGGGAACTAGAGGCAGTAGCATACACTAAACAATATGATATAATAGGCATAACTGAAACATGGTGGGATGAGACACATGACTGGGCAGTTAACTTAAATGGGTACATTTTATTTAGGAAGGATAGGAAAAACAAAAAGGGTGGTTTTTGTATGTCACCCATGATTTAAAGCCAAATCTTAAGCAAGTGGAATGCGATGAGGAAAATGTGGAAGCCTTATGGGTAAATATCTGCTTGGGGGAAAAGAAGGGAAACCAACTATTGGTTGAGATATGTTATAAACCACCTAATGTTAATATTGATGAGGAACAACAGCTGTTTGAGCAAATTGAGAAAGCTGCAAATCTGGGTAACACTTTAATTATTGGAGATTTAAATACCCGGACATAAATTGGGAAAGAGGGACTAGTAGCTCAGCAAAGGGAATTAGGTTTTTAAACTTGTTAAATGACACCTTCATGTCACAACTTGTACAAGCACCAACTAGAATGGATGCTTGTCTGGACCTGGTTTTAACAAACAACATTGATCTTTTGACCATGATTCAAGTAGGTGAGCACTTGGGAAATAGTGATCACAATATAGTGTCCTTTGAAATAAACTTAAAAAACCAAAAGCACATGGGGTATACTAAAACATATAATTTTAAAGAGGCCAATTTCAATAAGTTAAGGGCAGCTTTACAATATATTGACTGGCATAAACTCTTTAGTGAAAAGAACACTGAGGATAAATGGATCATCTTCTAACAAATATTAGAAAGGTACATTTCTCAGTATGTACCATTGGGAAATAAATATAAAAGAAACAAATTAAAAACAATGTGGCTTAGTAGAGAAGTAAAACAAGAGATTAAAATAAGAAAAGGGCATTTAAAGCATTTAAATCGGACAAATCAGATGCATCTTATAAAAGATATAAGGAAGCAAATAATGCGTGCAAAAAGGCAATTAGATTTGCTAAACTTCAAAATTAAAAAATGATAGGTAAAGAGAGCAAAACCAACCCCAAAGCATTTTTTAAGTACATAAATTCTAAAAAAAAACAAAAATGAAAGTGTAGGTACACTAAAAACTGAAACGGGTGTGTTAGTTAATGAAGACCAGGAAAAGGCAGGAATTTTAAATAACTATTTCTCCTCTGTATATTTTAAGGAAGACCCCATGGCAATAGATGTGCAAATGATTGCTACTAAAAACTTGCAGAATAATTGTAATTGGTTAACTCAAGACAAGGTGCTGCAGCAACTAAAGAAAGTTAATATAAACAAAGCTCCAGTGCCTGACGGTATCCATCCACGAGTACTTAAGGAACTAAGTGTAGAAATAAGTGAGCCTCTGTTTTTAATCTTTCCAGATTCTTTTCTTTCAGGAAGTGTTCTGGAGGATTGGAGGAAGGCACATGTGGTTCCTATATTCAAAAAGGGTTCAAAAGCCTTGCCTGGAAATTATAGACCTGTGAACTTAACTTCTGTGGCTGGGAATTTTTTTTAAAAGGTTATTAAGGGATAATATTCAAGAATTCCTTGAGAAGAACATGGTTTTCTGCAAAAATCAGCACGGTTTTATGAAGCACAGGTCACGTCAAACTAACTTGATTGCGTTCTATGAAGAAGTAAGTAGAAGTATAGATCAGGGTGTTGCAGTGGATGTGATCTATTTGGATTTTGCGAAGGCATTTGATACAGTTCCATACAATAGATTAGTGTTCAAACTCAAGGAAATCGGTCTAGATGAAAATGCTTGTTCTTGGGTAGAACATTGGCTTAAAAACAGAATACAAAGAGTTGTCATTAATGGTAAATTTTCAAGCTGGACAGAGGTGGCAAGTGGTGTCCCTCAGGGGTCTGTTCTGGGACCCCTTCTATTTAACATGTTTATAAATGATCTTGAAGACAGCATTGAAAGTCATGTTTCAGTGTTTGCAGATGACACAAAACTCTGTAAAATAATACAATGTGAGCAAGATATTACTTTGCTGCAGAGGGATTTAGATAGACTGGGGGACTGGGCACTCAAATGGCAGATGAAATTTAATGTTGAAAAATGCAAAGTTATGCACTTCGGCATAAAGAATACACAAGCAACGTAAACCCTTAATGGAAGCGAATTAGGGATAACAACACATGAAAAAGAGTTGGTAATTGTTATAGACAACAAACTATGCAACAATATGCAATGTCAATCAGCAGTGGCCAAGGCCAGGGAGGTATTGTCATGCATTAAAAAGGGCATTCATTCTCGGGACGAGAATATAATTTTGCCTCTTTATAAATCACTGGTAAGACCACATATTGAATATGCTGTGCAATTATGGGCACCTGTTCTAAAGAAGGATATTATGGCACTAGAAAAAGTGCAGAGGCAGGCTACAAAATTAATAAAAGGAATGGAACATATCAGCTATGAAGAAAGTTTAACATATTTAAACCTATTTGGTTTAGAAAAACGTCACCTGAGATGGGATATGATAACATTATACAAATATATTCGGGGCCAATACAAACCATTGTGTGGAAATCTATTCACAAACCGGACTTTACATAGGACACAAGGTCATGCGTTTAGACTGGAAGCAAGAAGATTTTGTCTAAGGCAAAGGAAAGTTTTTTTACTGTAAGAACAATAAGGATGTGGAATTCTCTGCCTGAAGAAGTGGTTTTATCAGAGTCCATACAGATGTTCAAACAGCTACTAGATGCATACTTGCGAAAACAGAATATTCAAGGATATAATCTTTCAATGTAGGGTAATAACTGCTTGATCCAAGGATAAATCTGACTGCCATTCTGGGGTCAAGAAGGAATTTTTTTCCTAGCTTGTTGCAAAATATCGCTTCAAACTGGGTTTTTTGCCTTCTTATGGATCAACCGCAAAAAAACAAATGTGAGGAAGGCTGAACTTGATGGACGCAAGTCTCTTTTCAGCTATGTCACTATGTAACTATGTAAATACAAAATGCATCAGACTTCTATATCCGAATGTTGCTATATTGTATTCCTGTGTTTTCTTATCATGAAAGCTATGTGTATTTTTTTTTTTTTAAGAAGACTTTAATAAACGTTTGCATTTTCCAAGTACGTTTTATCTAACACTAAAATGACTGAGTAAGGGGAACGCTGTCTAGTCTAGAGTGTATTCCAAAATGAAAACACTCATAAAGAAAACCGGTCAATAGGAAATTATGATCCGATGAGATTAACACAGATAATGCGAACACAACATGGAATATAAATTTTGTAAACATAATAGAAAAGAACTAAATGTGAAATGGGATCTTATATTAATGAAATCATCCAGCAGGATGAAGATGCACACAAAATTTCACAATAATTACTGTGCCCCCAGTTGGACACAATGCAACTCAGAAAGATTGCTCCACCCAGGAGCAAAGGAAATACTCAAGGATTCTTTTAAAATTGCCAGAGAAAAAAAATTAAAGAAAAAAAAATAATAATTTTGTTTCAATACCAACATTAGAGGACTGAATATGACTATGTGTAACTGGATTTGTTTATCTAACGTGTCTTGTTTTACGCATTTGTTTTTTAAATTCTACGGACATGCTTCTGTATACATGTGTGAGTATTTATGTATGTTTATACAGATATGTTAGCTTATAAGATTGAAGTTCCTTAATAATTCTCTCCTTTATTACAGCTATCTCTTCTACTACCTATTTGGCTGTTTTTTTGCTCTCCTCATTCATTCAACCTACAAATATGTATGACTGCCTTGACTTGTACCTTTTTTTTCACTGTTTTTTATTTACCTGTTTTTGTTCAAAGTTCTTTAATGCAGCTCAAATTTTGACTTACGTGTTTCAGTTTTTACACTGAATTTATTCTCTTGCTGAAATATCATTGGTTAAGAAGAGAAGAAGATATTCCGTGTATCCCAAAATTCCACTTGACATTGCGAAAGAAGACAAAGTGAAAACAGAACAGCTAATGAGTTGGCAACTCTGGAATTGAAAATATTTCAGATTATGAACCATCATCACCAGAGACAGTTATTGTCTCCAAAGGACTATCGTGCTGTACTAGCCAAAATATTCAAACTGAAAACAGAACTGGAGATTTTTTTTTTCTAATTCTGCTTTTTTTTTTGTCTAAATGTTAAATCATGGCAGCATTTACTCATGGGTTAGCTCCTCCCCTCACAGCAGAAAGGACAGGAAACAGAACTCTGAAACTGGTATAAATAGATCCTCCCCCTTCCCATCAGGCAGTCTTTTTTTCCTGACCTTCACAGCAGTTTGGAAGGAGTCTGCTTATGCAGGCCTAGATTTTTTCTTTTATGCTCACCAGGCAGTATTTTTGTAGCCCTGCCAGGGTTCAGCCTCTAAGCCCTGAAGACCCAGCAATGCACTATTGTGAAAGTGGCTAGCCTGGGTACCCCCTCAGGGGGTGAATGTGATCTACTGTTTACATGAAGCCAGGCCAGGGTTCAGCCTCTTATACCTGAAGGGTGTTGATATTTTTACAGATAAAACAAGGTGCAGAATGATCTTATCACCATA